GTTGTTTGATTTATATTGATTGTGTTTCATGTGTATTTGACTTGCTGAACAAACGTTACTATAATTTATGGCATTCCAAACTCAAGGAGAGATAACATGTCTCTTTGATGTTCCAAGAAAATAATCCCAAGTGTAACTGAAGAAAAATTCAAAACATTCACGTCATTCTGCCAAACATCACAAGAAATGTGATCAGTTGAAGGAAGATTTTTTTTTTTAAATCATTGCATCCCAAGCAAGACAGTAAAGCCCTTAAAATGTAGGTGATTACTGAGAGTGAAAGAGTATGAGAAAAACATTAAGGAGAGAGAATAATAAAATAACAGGAATTAAGAAGACTGATGATGATTAGTATTACATTTACATTTTTCAAGATCAATGTTAACTGAAAAGAAAAGAATCTAGGAGTGAGTTCCACAAGCAAGAAGTGTGAGAGAAGAAACTGTTAACATAGAACTTATCGTTAGATCTAATTGCATTCTTCTGTGCTCTCTAAACTACACAATAAATGCCTTGCTCTTCTTATCTAGAGCTTAATATAAAATTCAGTGATGGATGTTAACACATCAGCAGTAGACCTGGTGAAACAGAAGCCATATTGTTTATCCGAAAGGAAGTAATGAGAATTATTATATTTAATCACTTCAGCATTGTTTAAAACCTCAAATACTTTGCTGAAAAGTGGTACGAGACTAAGAAGGTAATAATTTTGAGGAGTCAAAGGGTTCTCCAAAGTTCTTAAAAACAAGAGCTTCAGAAGAGGACTTTCAATAATCTGGAAAGCAGGAAGCAGTGAGGCAACTATGGTAGAAGTTGGAGAGAACTGGAGACAGCTTGGGAGCACATTTCTTTAGGATGATGGCTGGGATCCTGTCACATCTTCTTGCCTTGTGGAAGTCTAGTTTGGAAATTATGTCTGAAAGCAGTGATAGAGTTATGTGCATATCACTCAATAGAGCCTCCATTCTAGGGGGAAATCAGGTATAGGTACTCCAGATGAGTAAAGAGAACTTCCGAGCAAAGCACTCAACTTTGTCTGCTGTAGATGTCAGAACTTCAAATTGATTGAAGAGAAGAGAAATTGAGGATTTGCTGTTGTTCAGGACACTCTTGCAAACCTGCCAATAATCTCTAGAATTTTCATTCTATCAGCCAACAGTAACTTTGGTTCTCTGAGGAGGCATTTGTACTCATTATGAGCAGAGACAAAGAGATATCTGTTATAATCAGACCTGTCACTCCGGTACAGCCAGAAGAATTGATTCCTTCAGGCAGTAGCAGCCAAGCATGCAGATGAAAACCAAGAAGATAATCATGTTTTCACTTGTTATTTCCATGCTGGAATCAAAGCTTCGATGCTGGAGGAGACGTCAGAGGTATATTTTTGAATGGGATGATTAAAAACTTTATACTAAGAGATGTTGTGAAAGAAATCATGGAATGTATCCCAATTATTACTTCCTTCAAAACATCTCTTGGAATGAACCCCAATCAGTTCATTGATAACAGAAACATATTCTGTTGGTAGGAAGTTCTTGTCTGATGGGAGAACAGAAAGAGATGTTTACAAATATTACTTCATGATCAAAGTTTTCAAGAGGGCAGAGCTGCAGAGTATGACATGACTCAGAGATAAAGAAAAGATCGAGAAGAGAAGTGTGCCCATCAGAATTACTAGGGAAACATGCGAGGGAATTTCACCATTTGCGTGAGATATTGAGAGGTTCCAGTGAGTTCAGTGATTAAACCACTTGGCATGGTGGGCATTGAAGTCACCAAACACATTTGTAAGTGGATGTAGAGAAATGGCCTTATCTATATTATAAGAAATATTATCTAGCACACAACAGTCATGTGAGGAAAGTGAATAGTAGAGAAAGAAGGGATAGCTGACTGAGTTTAGTAGAGAAAGACAGAGGCAGATGTGAGAACGACCTGGAGATTCAAAAGAGCGTTCCCTAGCCAGCGGGAGATGTTTCTGAACATAAACTCCCAGGCTATGAATGTGGACAATAGAGTCCTTCCTAAAGAGAGTAAGATAGCAAGGAATCAAGAATTCAGAGGAGAGGTTGAAGAATTAAGATTAGTTTCACAGAGAGCAATACAAGATTTTTTTTTATAAGCCCACATTACTTTTATAAAAACCCACAATAAATACATTTTTTATAAACTCACAATACTAGATTTTTTATAAGCCCACAATAATAGATTTTTTATAAGCCCAGAACACACTAGATTCTTTTATAAGCCCAGAACACACTAGATTCTTTTATATGCCCAGAACACACTAGATTCTTTTATAAGCCCAGAACACACTAGATTCTTTTATAAGCCCAGAACACACTAGATTCTTTTATAAGCCGACAATACTAGATATTTTATAAAATCACAATAAATACTAAATTTTTATACAAGACTACAACACTAGACTTTTTTATAAACACATATTACTAGATTTTTTTAAAAGCCTACAATACTAGATTTTTTTTAATAAGCCTACAATTAATAACGATTTTTATTTAATTTAAAAAAAAATTAAGACTGGATTCTACTGTAGATATTAATGGGTTTGGGTTTATTTTTCACATTTCTTTCAATTATAGAATAAGGAAGACAGAGGAAAGGTTTATAAATTTAACTTATTACATTTTCATTTAAGCTTCATCAAAAATTTTTGGAACTGAATCATAGAAGAGAAAATTCCGAAACTTTGTGTTCTATGTTGTTTGTTTTTCATTGGTCAGGCAGACCCCACATGTGTGTGCATATGTGTGGATTCTAGTGGGCATTTTTGAGTATGTTGTATAGTATCTGTGTGTTTAATTCCTGTAAGATGGTTGTGGGATGATGATATGTCTGTATATCATATTTGTAGTTGATCTTGCAGGAGTTGGTTGAGTTGGTGTGTTTGTTGGTTGGGGGATATTTGGTGTGTGCTGGAGTGAAAGACTTAGGTTACATAAACTGAGGATATCTGGATCTTAATATTCAGATTTTATGAAAGTTGATTTTATAAAAAGATGTATCCAGCATGTGTTTATTGATGGGAAGATATTTATTAGTATTCCTTCAAAATATCTTTTTCATAGCTTATCCTTGTTCAGCACTAAGTCACAGTAGTGGAAATATTTATGAAACACCAAACTCATTACAAGGATAAAATAGTGTGTGATACAAGTTTCCTAATCACTGCATTACAGTTAGCATTCACTTATAAAAGTCATTTACATTGGAACATGGCCAGATTGAATGAAATGTAATAATCGCAAAGATTCAATTCTTCGCATGTTGAATTCATTTGTCAGTATTTCTTTAGTTAGACTATTCAAGATGATTCCATCAACTTTTTCTTTCTGAAACTGTGGAATAAATTTTTCAAGACCAAGTAATTTCAAAGTCTCTGCCACTTCTCCTATGCTTAAGTGACACACATCCCACTTGCATTTGCTGTTACCCTCATTTTCCACAGTAATTTTGTTCATTTCCATGTAGGATTGGTTATCATTTATGAAAGAATGTCTTCGGGAAACTTTTTCTTGTTGTGGAATCGGCAGAATCTCTGGAAGAGAATTTAACCGTTTTTTATGCACCGGCTGTAAATTTACAGACTTATTAAACCTTGAAGCCAATTCCTTTTGTAAATCTGATTCTATTTTCTTCTTGCTGCTGCTTTCATCTGATGTTTTTGTGGATGAAAGTGTTTCAGAGGAATTCTTCAGACTAGCTGTTCGTGGTTTAGTTAGTGGAAACTTTGTATATCGGTTAGCACTTGATGACAAACATTTGGATTTATCTTCATCGACACTGATTGGTTCTAAGATTTCATACAGACCAGAATCGATTATTAAACCTCCTTGATCAGGTAATGGTGGTAGAGGCCTTCTAGTTTTGACATTGTCTTTTTTCTGAATGGCTTCATTTAAAGAGACTATCACAGGAGTTGTGCTTGACAGACAGCCTACTCCAAGTTGCCTTGAAAAGACAATATCTGAAAAGAAAGAACAAACAAATATAAAATAGAAAAAGTGTTTCTGCAAATAAAAATACACACAAAGCAATTGTTACCTATTTCTTGATATCATCATTACAAAATGATCAAGCAATTAACTGAGGATGACGATATAAGTGTCTGTTGCAGTAAATCTATCATTAAGTCTATTCCAAAAGCTCAAATTATGGATGTCATTTTTTTTCAATTTTATTTACCACAACATTTCAGTTGATCAATTCTGCAAACTTCTTCAACAATATTTCAATAGAGATAAGAGTACAAACAAGAATATTCTAAGATTGGTGCAACACAATCTTCCACACAGTCTTCTTTTTGGCCTTATACCAAGTTGCTCACATGAATGACAGCAAAATTCATAAATGGCTTCTGTATGGAGAACTTGTTAATGGAAAGTTAACATCGCACAAGCCAAACAATCATTATGAGGATGGATGGAAATAATAATTGAACCATGAAAACTTTAGTACATATGACTAATAGTTTGATGGCAATAATTGCACCATTTGGCAGAAGAAGGTTCATGATGAAAATGTTGCTTTCAAGAGTTCTTAGTGTGATGGACGCAGATAGCCTAAACACACATACATGCATCTATTAAGGTTAATCTCCACCTGACAACAGAAGAGGTCATGTGGAAGTCATGAGACATTTTGGGAAAGCAAGTCAATAGGTTGACTGACCTAATTACCCGTAGCAACAGATGTCTAGACAGAAGCTAGACAGGGGACTGGTGTAAGCTGGAATTTGCGCCAAAACACAGGACACATGAGAGTTAGAAAATTACTTGAGAGTCAGTTGCTGTCTTATCTTTGAAGAAGCAAGACTTGAAATCGAAGCGCTGATAACTTATGAACAGAAAGATGAGACTCATTTGATAATGATGAAACTTGTCCAATTCATCCCAGGCAACTCTGGACATGAAACATAAGAACATGTATTTCTGTTCGATAACCCCAAATTGAAGATGATTACTTGCATTATTTATCACAGAAGACGCAAAGAAATTTGTACGCTGAGAATACAGTCTGCGCTTGAAGAAAAGAGAAAACCAGAGAGGAAGAAAGTATATATCTCTGTTACAAGCTGAATTGTATAAAGAAGAATAAAGAAGAAAGAAAACCAGAGAGAGGAAGAAAGTGTATATCCCAGTTGCAGTTGAATCGTGTTTGAAACTGAACTGTATACAGAAGAAGAAAGAAAGAAAAAAAGAAAACCAGAGAGAGGAAGAAAGTGTATATCTCTGTTACAGCTGGACAGTGTGTGAAATCATATTTGTGTCAAGAAAAGGAAGGAAAGAAAAGAGGAAACGTGAGAAAGAAAAGAAAGGACAATGATAAAAAAAGAGAACTGAATATAAAGATTAGTAATCATATATTCTGGACCCATGTTAGAAAGATACACATGCATCCATAAATATTATGTTCTTACAAACACCTTTCCACATGTCAAAATAATAATATGTAACTCCTATCCCATCTCTTTTGGTTATGTGTTGATTTCTGCATTCATAGTTATTTATTATTTTTTTATCTGTTCCGTTCGGGTTCAGTCAAATCCATTTTGATATCCCAACATAAGTCTTGAGATCTGATCATCGGATGTTTTACTCATGCTTATATTTTCTTTTATTTTAATATTTTGTATATCTGTACATATTAAAGTTCTTATATCAAAATTCACTACGCCTTATCGTTCATCCTTGAATTGTGGATCAGTATTTGTGTTGAAACCGAAACGAACCTGGGAAAAGATTACTATTTGATTATCCTAATCGAACAGTATTCTTTAAAATATTTTTTTGTTTACTAATTGTCCATTGTCATGATCTGAGAGAGATAGCCTGTATCTCTCCACAGTTGTGATAATGTATATATCTTCTGGTCGGCATATGATCACCTTATAAACCCATTCGTTGACTAGGGCATATGACATTAGGTAGCAAGCCAGAAGTTGAAAAATTATTTTCTACAATGATATTCACCCTATATAAATCCCAAGAGCCACTCAAGGTAGAGGCTTACAGTGTAAGATGCATCACCCCAAGCAAAGTGATAATGCTACAAAGATGCAAGGAGCCACCACAAGTGAAAGAGAAAGAAAAGACTTTAAAAAGGAACTAGAAACCCAATCCTAAACAGGAAACAAGCAATAAACCTCTACTCCTGTTCAAAAATATAGGGAGGAGAATGAAGTGGATGATAGGCACACCTATCTACTCCTATTGAGGAAACAAGGAAATAAATAGTAAATAGAATTTTAGAGTTTATGTGAAGATGTTAGAAGTATAGAGTAGACTTTAAAAGGTTTTCATTGAGTTAAGACATGCAAAGTAAACATACCAGAATACCAATCAACTACAAGATTGGTCTATATTTCTGAGATGAGGTATTATGTCCATTATTTATGTTATTCAGATTATTGTAAAAAAACATGCAATAATAACAGCAAAAATATGAGCATTGGTAAAAATTGTTTGCTGAAGACATTAAGTTTATAAGTCTCAGAAATTCATACACAGATGTCCTCAAGGACACATGGCACAGTGGATAAATGCATTGGTTAGATCCAGTGACAAGACCTAAAAGATTTGTCAATTCAATACTTGGTTAAAGCAGTAGAGAACTTAGAGAGGGGAATTAACAGGAGATAACTGACATCCATTAGTCATGGCATGTGGAACTAGAATAGTCTACCCCATTGAACAAAATAAAGGGTTCAGTTTGACATTCCAACCACCTGAAGAAGGCCGGAGATGTATACATCGACCAAAACATTGTGATAAATATGGCAACAAAGATGAGGGCAATATTCTGAATAATGTAAATAGTCAACTACAAAATGATATTAAATTTTAACAATTCACATCACATTTGTAGAAAAGAGTTCAAGTCAGCTAGTGGACTGAAAAATAAATACAATGAGAACAAAATGTATGCTTCTTGTGCTTACCAACTTTGTGCCAGAAGCTTCATAAGTTTTTCTGGTTAAAAGCCTCCATTTAATTTCAGAGCCCAACTGAGTCTTACAATAAGGTCTTGTGATGGTCATATTCAATATCAAGGTGGCCACCATCAGATATTAGAATCCAGAGAGCATGTGCAAACATTAAATCATCAATCATCCAAATGGATCATCAATTATATGAGGTATTTAGGCCAGGTAATACCAAAACAAAGGCACCATGGAGTAATGGTTGGTGTTTTGGATTAGGAGAGCTGAGTTTAAATTCCATTCAAGTTCATTATATTCACTTATGTTCTAATACCCTTGGAAAGAGTATGAATCCATCTCTTCACCCCAAGCTATGGAAAAAATAGCAGGACAGACTGGATCATATCATATTGGGTGGCAACCACTCTAGGAGAAGGAAACTAAATTCAAAACCATCTACTGCCTTGTAGGTCCTGCCTCTTTAGGCAAAGGCTATAAGAAGGTAACTTAAAAAACAATTCCACCTCTGAGTGGCACGGTTGGATAACCTCAACATCATTGGTGCAAAAGGAACTGGTAAACCATTGCCCTATTAGGGCAGGTTGATTTTGAAACTGTGGTATTGAACTCAATTTGAAAGTTGGGGTTTAACATGATAAATAAAGACGAAATATTTTTTCAAAATCATTATTGTTTTTTGAGGAAATGAGTTTAAAGGTCACGTTTAGGTCCAAAATCATTGCATTGCAATTTCATTACAGTGAAAGCCTTGCAGCACAGTCTTATAAAAATCTATAATTTACTGAAGCTTTACAAATTTTATACGGATAAGACACATGGCATAAGTATATTATTAATAAATTATTGTGCTATTAAATAAGACCTTCATATACTTCAAAGTGAAATTATACTGAACAATTTAGCTATATTATAATGTAATATATTATAAAGTGCAGTAGTTTTTAAACATTTTGTCTTATAATTTGTGTCCAGCAGTAATATGATGTTATATCCACTTTTATCTATTTTTTGTTTTTATTGATTATGACTGAATAAATGATCTAACAAATCCTATATGTCGAATAGCTTTTTTTGTAATCCTTTACAATTTTTTTTTAGTCTTTACTTAACAAATACAGTAAAAAAATTGTATATTTTGCTTGTGGTGATTCATAATTAGAATTCTGGTTTGAATATATTTTCCATTCAATGTTATCTAATGCAAAAGATATCAACTTTACTTGGATTTATTCTTGAAATAGTAAAATTTTGAAGTCAGTTTGTAAGTGGAAATTAAGTATTTTTGTACATTTTTAGATGGTCTTTAAAACTAAATGCTCAAAAATTGGTAAGGGTGATAAATCTAATTTTTTGTTTCAGTACTTAGCACATAAAACCCCAGGTTTGACATCGAGTACAATGTTGATTTTTTAAAAATAGTGAAAAATCAACCTATCCTACCTTACAAGCTAGTTCAGAGGTGAGATCAACTGCCACGTTTTGGATATCTAGATTTTTGGTGGTGCTCCCGAAAACAGGGGTATCATCTGCATATATATTTACTTGTGATCTGAGAATGTTCTTAAGCAGATCGCTAATATATAGCTAAAAAATTGGCAGGACTGAGGAGAAAGCTGTGGGGAATATCTGCATTGATGGTATGGGCTTCAGAGTACTGACCATTAACAACAATCTACATGGATCTACCTGATTAGAAGGATGTGATAATCAAGTAGACTTTACCAAGAATGCCATAGCTGGGGAGTTTTTACAGTATCCTTCTATGTCACACCTCGTCAAAGGCTTTTGAGATATCTAAAGCAGTAGCTCTTGTTATTTATTAACAAGTCCTTTATTGATTTGGAGTATAATTGATGGCATGAAAACACAGATAGATTACTTGGTTTCAGTGAAAGAAAGGAAATGAAGGAAAGAAAGGAAAGAAATGAAAATGTTTTTTAAAATCTGCTTCAGGGTAATTAAAAAGTTGTCAATTTTAAATCATTACATTTGTAATCATTACGAATAAACTTATTAATAAAAATGATTGCAAGAAAGAAAGAAAAGGAAGAAAGAAAGGAAAGGAAGAAAGAAAGGAAAGGAATTAAGGAAAGAAAGAAAGGACGGAAAGAAAGGAAAGGAAAAAATTTTTAAAATCTGCTTCAGGGTAATAAGAAAGTTGTCAATTTCAATTTCTAATCATTACATTTGTAATCATTATGAATAAATTTATTAATAAAAATGTTTGCAAGAAAGAAAAGAAAGAAAGGAAAGGAAAGAAAGAAGGGAAGGAAAGAAAGGAAGGAATGAAAGAAAGGAAAGAAAGACGTTTTTAAAATCTGCTTCAGGGAAATGAAAAAGTTGTCAATTTCAAATCATTACATTTGTAATCATTATGAATAAATTTATTAACAAAAATGTTTGCAAGAAAGAAAGAAAGAAAGAAAAGAAAGGAAGAAAGAAAGGAAAGAAAGGAAAGAAAGAAAGAATGGAAAGAAAAGAAAGAAAGAAAGAAAGGAAAGGAAGAAAGAAAGGAAAGGAAGAAAGAAAGGAAAGGAAGAAAGAAGTTTTTAAAATTTGCTTCAGGGAAATGAAAAAGTTGTCAATTTCAATTTGAAATCATTACATTTGTAATCATTACAAATAAATTTATTAATAAGTTTGCTTGCAAGAAAAGAAAGAAAGGAAAGGAAGAAAAGAAATGAAGGAAAGAAAGAAATGAAGAAAGGTAAGGAAAGAAAGGTAAGGAAAGAAAGGAAAGAAATGAAGGAAAGAAAAGAAAAAAAGAGAAAGAAAAGAAAGGGAGAAAGGAAAAATGATTGAAAGAAAGGAAAAAGTTTTTATAATCTGCTTCAGAGAAATGAAAAAGTTGTCAATTTCAAATCTTTTCATTTGTAAATCCTTACTTAGAATAAATTTATTAATAAAAATGTTTACAAGAAAGAAATGAAGGAAAAAAAGGGAGGAAGGAAAGGAAAGAAAGGAAATAAAGGAAGAAAGGAAAGAAAGGAAGAAAGGAAAGAAAGGAAGAAAGGAAAGAAAGGAGTTTTTAAAATCTGCTTCAGGGAAATGAAAAAGTTGTTAATTTCAATTTCAAATCATTACATTTGTAATCATTACAAATAAATTTATTAATAAAAATGTTTGCAAGAAAAGGAAGAAAGGAAAGAAATGAAGGAAAGAAAGAAATGAAAAGAGAGAAAGGAAAGAAAGGGAAAAAGAAAGGAAAGGAAAAATGATGGAATGAAATGAAAAAATGGAGGAAAAGAAGAATTTTTTTAAAAATCTGCTTCAGGAAAATGAAAAAGTTGTCAATTTCAATTTAAAATCTTTTCATTTGTAAATTATTACTTATGAATAAATTTATTAATAAAAATGTTTGCAAGACATGTTTTTGTTTAGTGAAAATAATTTAATGTGAAACAAATAGAGGAGAAGGAAATTATAACAAAAAGATGAATTATAGTTTTTTAGCTACTATAATAGACACAGAATATTGACATGCAGTGTTATTCTTTTATTGTTAATTAGACTCTTTGCTTAGAAACATGTAGGTTTTTGAAAACAATACTAAAAATGCTAAGTGGTCCCATGCATGACCACAAAATATGGCTAAATATTTGTCTAGTATTTTGTGAATTCTGAGATGACAGACAGAGGTGCAAAAAATAAAAATACATTTCCAGTGAATTATAGTTGGATTAACTTACCTTTATGGGCTTTATAGCCCGGCATTGTACGTTTAATTTTGTTGTCCATATATTTCAATAAATTTTTCAAAGATTTTCTTTGTTCCTTAAAACATATTGCCACTTTAAATGTCAAGAACAAATATGATGGTAACGTGATTATATCCAATGCATGCAATTTTGTTTCTGAATTCAAAAATAGAAAGAAAAAAGATAAAATTAGTATATTTTTGTGTCACCTTAATAAATATATAATTACTTGGTTTTGCGTCACCTTAATAAATATGTGTTATGTCGATATTGTGTCGTTTGAATAAATCTAAAAATTACTCATGTTTTGATTGTGTGTCACCTTAATAAATATAAAGGCTCCTTGGTCTTTGATTTTGCCACACCTTAATAAATATAAAAATTACTCTACCTTGTGCTGTCATAATAAATATAAAGGCTCCTTGATCTTTGATTTTGCCACACCTTAATAGATATAAAAATTACTCTACCTTGTGCTGTCATAATAAATATAAAGGCTCCTTGATCTTTGATTTTGCCACACCTTAATAAATATAAAAATTACTCTACCTTATGCTGTCATAATAAATATAAAGGTTCTTTGATAATGTCACATCTTAATAAAAATTACTTGATCGTGTTTCAATTTTGTGTTGCCATAAAAAAGATAATAATTAGTCAATCTTGTGTAGTCATAAATATGATAAACATTACTTGATCTGTAGATTTTGTGGTGCTTTGATAAATATAAAAAATAATCAGTGTAAGTGAATTCTGTAAGTTAAAATAAATGCTATTATTTTAAATTAAACTAAAATGTTTTTAATGATAAAAAGAAAAAACTCGATCCATTTCTTTCAAGTGAGAGTTTTAGAGATCCTACTCCTTGTAAAAGAACATGTATTGATTCAATTTTTTTTTTACAGCTTATCAACCCTTTGCAGGTTATTTAAAGCCAAAAAATATTTTTAGATCATAACAATTTTTTGAGGTAATAATGATTTAGTGATACAAGTCTTACTAATTAACCCATATTGTGGGGAGAAGTGGTACTTGAACGTAAGTGAATATAATGAACCTAACTGGAATTTGAACTCTCTCTGATTAACAATTCCAAGCCATTATCCATTACACCACCTGAACACCCAAGCAAGATAAGGCCATAAACCTAAAAAAGAACAGTGCAATATTGTCAGCTTTTGACACAAAAAATAACATTTGGTAAAAAGTTTGAGGGATTACAGAGAGAGAAAGAAACTGAAAAAAATCTTATTGAGGATTACAGCCATATCGCATTGAAACACTGGTTTCTGTATGATTACTGAAGTTAAGCAACATCAAGTCTGGTCAGTAACTTGATGGGTAACTGCTTAGGAATACCAGGTCCTGTAAACTTGGATATACGATTTGTTAAATGGATAACAACTCAGAATTGGAAATCACAGAACTGAATTCCAATTCCCATAGTGTTCATTATATTCCCTTGTGCACAAATACCTTTGGGAATGGTAAGAATAAACTCTTTGTCCCCTCAGCTATAGCTTAATCAGTAGAATTTGTATCAGTAAAAATAATTAGCTTCAAAAAATTTTACAATTTAAAATATTTTCTGGCTTTAAATAACCAGCAAATCAGTTCAGTATATCGAAAAAATTCTGCTTGGGTTAGGTTACTATTAACATGAAGAAAAAATAAATAAAAAAATAAGAACTACAAGGGACAGGAAGATGTGGAGACTCATGATCGACTACATTCTGAAGGGACAGGACACATAAAAGAAGATAGTCCACAAAGAGAAAAACAATAGACTTTCTTCATTCAGTTGAAATTTATAAAATCATTCTATTAAAGAAACTTTTCAGGAATATTGACAGCAATTGGTAATCATAGTAACAACTTTCATCACCCTGAGTATTTGTTGATATTACAAAAGTGGCAACAATTGTTCATTGACATCACAAAAATTGGGTTTGGCACCATGCAAGAGATCTATATGAATATCTCAATTTGATGAGGTAATTTAAGAAAAGGACTTGAGATTTTAGTTTAATGTTTTGATTTTGTAGCAATTTGTGGTATTGGGAGAAACTACACCTAGCACAGCTTCTTCTGTATTCAATTTCCTTTTCCTCAATACTAAATTTGTTATAAATGATCTATACACCAAAGTATTTGAACTTTTTAGTATTTACCAAATCCACATACTGAATTTTAATGATGGATTCAGAGTAGGCACCATCTCTGCTTTTATTCCAATTCCAGATTATAATTTGTTTTTGGAAAGGCTTAGGCTATATAAATCATCAATATGGCACTACTTAGTATCCAGTATGTAAGCAATAAGACAAAAAAATAGCAAAAAACTGACCGTCCATTGTGAATCCATAGAGAAAAAAAGCTTGGGACTTGTGTGTTAGTAACAATTCAGAAAGCTTATCCTCCACTCTCTCAACGTAAGTGTGCAGAAAGACATCACGACTACACTCCGACAGGAAAACTTTGCAAGGAAGCTTCTTATTACGAAGAATTTCAAACAGAAATTTCTGTTCCCAAGAACAGTTTGCTGAAATAGAAAAAAAAAACAAAAAAAAAAAAAACAGAATTAAAATGTATTAACTTTACAGTACAAACATGCAGTGTTTCCCAAAGGTATATAAAAAATTACAGACAATATTAAACATTATCTAAAAAATCTACTTAGATTTTCCAACAGCTAAACAAACTATTAAGAAACAGGAATATCTTGTTAAACACCAAGAAATGATTGCTGAACTATGTACTGTATATATGCAAGTTTTTATGATCAGATTTTTTTCTTACACAAAAAAATAGGGGGTTGCACTATACATAGGTCATTTTTTTTAAAGAGGTTAAAAATCATGCAATTTTGGTGAAAAAATAGCAGGTTGCATTATACATAAGTACATGTTTTTCTGGAGGGGTTAAAATTCATGCAAAATAATTTGGGGGGGGCACTATACATGAAGTCACCTTATACATGAGTATTATATGGTATGTCTTTCCTTTTCATCTCCTGATCAATTATGGTCTCCACAAATTCCCATCTTCTGTTGCTTTATATAATATTATACACTTTAGCGTCCCTTTTGTCCTTATTCTACTATGCATTCACACTAATTTGTTAAATTAGATTACACCCAGTTTCCAACTGATTTTTTGAAGAGGTTAATAATAATCATGCATTTTTAGTGACCAGTTGTACTATACACAGGTAATTCTTTTCTGAAGGGGTTAAAATCCATGCATTTTTGATGACCGTAACATACCTGCTAGGCTTACATTCTTATGGTCCCTTTGGCTAACCGTAATGGTACAGGTAAGCTGCTTTATCCTGCATTTCATCTTCCAATTGTGTCCACCTTTCCTCTGTGTTCACTGTATCTTAATCTTTGTATTAGATATTTTACGGCAAGCATTTTTTCTCACCATTTTGGAGTAGATTTGTACAAAAAATAATGAACATTTATTTGGTATTAAATATGTCCCAGATGATGCACAGTAGTGCAATAATTGACTGCAGTAGGCCTACTGGTATTGTTCAGAAGCTGGGATCACATTATACACAAGCTATGTGAAAAGTGTCTGGTTTTTCACAAAAAGTTCAGAGGTCACACTATACATGGCATCGGCTTATACATGAGTATATACAGTAATATCAAATCACCTATAAAGCAGCTTACAGCCATATCACGATGAAACACAATTCCCATACATTCATCAAAGTTAAGCAATGTTGAGTACCTAGATGACTGACCACTTGGTAATACCAGCTGCCTGTATGCTTGGATGTGTGGGTGGTGTAATTGATAGTGGCTGAAAATTGTTAATCAGAGAGCAGAGTTCCAATTCCAGTTGGGTTCATTATAGTCACTTACGTGCAAATAGCCTTGGTAAAATTATGAATTCACCTCTTTTACCCTCAGCTATGAGCTAATTAGTAAGATACGTAACACTAACTCATTATCTCAAAAAAACAATATTCTTATAATCTGAAATATTTTCTAGCTTTAAATAGCCTGCAAAGTGTTGATAAGCTGTAGAAAATGAATCTCTCAATGAAATACTGATTAGCTACATAGGCATGTCTTTTAGATTTATTTACATTCTCTGAAATATAAATGTGTAGAAATTACCATAGCCACAAAGTGAGGGATCAGTTTATATATTGATTGTAATATAGAATTGACCCCCTCGCACTTTATATCCATATTGTAATTTTTTTTTATTAAAATCTGGTTAATTATTAAAATTTGTATCCTTAAATCATTATTAGCTCAAAAAAAATTCTTACAACCTAAAAATATTTTCTGGCTTTAAATAACCTGCAATGGGTTGATAAGCTATAAAAAAATGAATGAATCAGTCAAATCCTATACAGCACTGAATGGTGAGCAATTTCCTCACAGATGAAGAAATGATTTGAGATAAAAAAATGAGATGTGGTTCCACAAAAAGGATGTTGAAAAATACCATGGACGGAGCATGTGAACAATGAAGAAGTTTTCAGGTGAATGGAAACAAAAAAAATTCTTGTACTTAGAATGATAAAGAGACAGTTAAATTTTCTAGCACATAAAGATACTGAAAAAATGGTTGTTTCATCCTATCTCTACAGTAGGCGCCAACTCCACCTGCCATTCTTTATCTTTAGAAGATTTAGATCAGACCAAAAAATTGATTATTGGTACCATATTTGGGCCACTAAATCTTCCTCCATCTCAACATTAGTCACTTTCTGACCACTGTGACATTGCCTCCCTCTGTCTTTCCTATAAATATTTTCATAGAAGTTGTTCTAATGGGCTCTCCTCCTTGGTACTTCAACTGCATGAATTTAAGCGTACTACTAGAGTGGCTACTAAGTCTCATCATTTTACTGCCAAATTAGCTAGAAGTAACTAAGTTCTGTTCTAATAGTTCCTTTTCTCCCACTTCTCACTTGTGAAATTCTCTAATGATTTTTTTGTTTCCCTCCCACCCACAATCTTCAAAGATTTAAATGCAACATCACCATTTTCTGTCTTCCTGAATCCTGTTCTTTTATTGTACTTTCTCCTCACTAAAGTCTTCCCATTTACTTGCACTCCCCACTAACCCTTTGAGTTTTGCAATATTATTGTCTTGCTTGTAGATAGGGTAGTATGAAATTAGAATTAAAAGGGTTCATGTGAACACCCTGTATGGAAATTGGAGAATTGGAAGGGTTAAAAATGTTAAAATCATTAAGGTGAAAACATGAAATAAAATATAGTGCAAGGAAAAAAGAGAAATGTAACGGCTCTTACAACATTTCACCATTCCTGGCAGATCTAATATCACACTGTGGAATATCTACTTACAAAAGTGATGGAAAGAAAAAGACTCTAAATGAATTTAGCTGATAAAAAAAAAGAGAAAAAGAAAAAAAAAAGGCTACTCTGATCAAAGGAGAAATAATTCATTGTGACGTAAATGTTTAATCACAAAGTCATCTACAGTAAATTTGCGACCTGGCTCTTACAACATTTCACCATTCCTGGCAGATTTTCTAATATCACAGTGTGGAATACCTACTTACAAAAGTGATGGAAAGAAAAAGACTCTGAATGAATTATGCTAGATTAAAAAAAAAAAAGAATTCTAAAATTCCCAGCATCCCTCTGTCATGCGTATGTGTATTCATACCAACATAACAAAATCTTTCACAAGGATATTTGCAAAGCTCTTCAATAATAGCCCACTTTACCATTTTGAGAGAGGAGAAAAAACATTTTTGATTGCCATGTCAGACTAAACAGCTCTTGTGCTACAATTGGTTAGAAGAATGTGTTTGTTTGATTCCCCGATTCACAGAATTTTCGTCATTCATATTGACTTTTTTATTTCAAATTCATTTAGAGTCTTTCTCTTTTTTTGTTTTTTGCATCACTTTTGTTAGTAGGTATCCCACATTGTGATAATAGAAGATTTTCCAGGAATGGTGAAATGCTTTAAGAGCCAGGGTGCAAATTTACTGTAGATGAACTTGCAATCAAGGTGTGACATGATTGTAACATTGGTAGTATGAAATTAGGATTAAAAGGGTTCATGTGAAAACCCTGTATAGCAATTGGAGAATTGGAGAATTGGAAGGGTTAAAACGTTAAAATCATTAAGGTGAAAACATGAATTGAAATATGAAGTGAAGAGGAAAAAAAGACGTTTTTATCCTTCTGATAACTAGGCAAATGGAATCATTATCTGCAAGGTCAATGATGTAAGTAAGCTGATATTTGAGAAATGTAAAATGTAAGCCAAAAAAAATTTGAAAAGCTGAGAAAATAAAATAAAATAAACAACCTGGAATGTGCAGAAAATTATTTGGGTTGTATTGGTAAATCAACAACTAAGATTTTAATTGGTAATATTGAAAATTTGGCAACAAAGAAAATTCTATTTACATTATTTACATTATTTGGACAGTTATTCTCATTTTCATTGCTATATTCACAACGTTTCAGCTGTTGTATGCTCCGACCTTCTTCAGGTGACTGGAATTTTGAAGTAAACTCATTATTTCATCCACCAGGGTAGATTGTTCTAGTTCCACGTGCCATGCCTCTTCTGGAGGTCTCAGTTATTTCCCTTTAACTCAATTCAACTTTTTTTGGTTCACCACTAAACTCACAACTCTTTGGGTCAAGTCACTGTATCTAACCAACACCTTTATCCACTTAGCTATGTGTTCTTCATCCGTGTATGAATTTTTGGGACTTATAAACCTAATGTCTCAGCAACCGTTTTTACCAGTGCTCATATTTTAAATCAGTCATATTTGAAAGTCAATAACACAAAGAATTCTTTGACATCAAAGAAAATAGAGATAATTTTTAAACACAAAAGTTTGTTAACAAAAAATTATTGTTTTGGATAAATGATTGTCATCAGAGCATAGAAAGGAATGTTAAACAAAGTTTGCTGTCAAGGAATATATTGTTGGCGAATAAGGGATCTCTTCCTTTGAGGGTTGGCGTCATCAAGGTTGGAGAAAATAATTGATATGAATAATTAATGAGTTCTGATATGCAGTAGAAGTCAAGCAAAATACATACATAAAAATGGAATATTTAGTTGAGGTCAGCAGTTGGAGTGATAGATGCAGATGAGATGAGACAGTGGCAGAGGAGGAGATGCTGAACCCTACTAGACCTGCTGCCAAGAGAATTCCCGACAATCATCTTGTGAGCATGATTTGACCCATTCCAAGTTTTAGAAGAATAGACACAGTGTCATGATAGAGAGTTTAATGGGAAGGATTGATTTTGTTGTATCAACAATTTTATAAATCAATTGAAATCCAGCGACTGTCTTCATTATTTGCTATATTATTTGTATTTTCATGGAAGCATTTTTGTCCTTTCATAGCACAGTTCCACCACAGCTTAAATACAGATGAAAATTTGATCTTTACTACACTGTGATCAAAGAACACAATGTGGGGTAGAGTAGATGAAGGAATGAAGTAGTCAGCAGATAATCATCGTTAACTGGTGACAGTACTGACCAGCACAGGAAGAAACTTGGATCAAGCTAGGCCAGCCATGAATAAGTGATTAAAAAATATATGTCAAATGCAAGAGAAACTGGAAGGGAAGTGAATAATCCACTTAAATAGAGAGCAGAATAAAGGTAAAAAAGAGTTGTATAGAAGGGTGAAAATCAACTTTAAACAAAAAGACAGGTAATTGGGGATAGTCATTATTGTTAATATCAGAAGGAAAAAAGATTTTGAGAACTGGATATGTTGAAGTCAATAGAAGCAACTGGAAACATTAAGTAACCTGCTTAACGTGTTTGAGACAATGGATGTTAGTACATGGATAAATAAGGAACAAAATGCATGACTGACAGTAAAAGAATGAGGCCAAATTGCAAATCGGAGGTACCAAAATCAAACAAGTGCAGAAATTTAAATATCTGGGAAGTGTTTTAATAGAGGACAAAAAGAGTGACACTAAGATTCGAAGGTGCATTGGGATAGCCAAAGATGCTTTCCAAAAGCTAAGCAAAGTATTAAGAAATAGAAAAATTTACTAGAAACAAAGAAGAGTAATAAATTGTTACGTGATATCTGATCTCCTGTATGGCAGTGAGTGCTGGACAATTTCCTTGAGGATGAAGAGGAAACTCGAAGCAACAGAAATGTGCTTCTACATAAGGATGCTGAAGACACAGTACACCAAACATGTGAATAATGACAAAGTTTTGGAGAAAATGGAAACAAAAAGGAAACTAATACTTAACATCAGGAAGAGAGAGTTGAGGTTTCTAGTGCATATAATGAGGAAAGAGGGCTTGGAAAATCTGATACTCATGAGACAGATAGAGAGTAAGAGGGACAGCAGAATACAAAGCATAACATACTTAGTCATCTTGAGTAAGTCATGGAGAGCCATGATTGCTTATGCCCTGTGGGAACAAGGCATGTAAAGACAAAGAAAGGGTCAAAAGTTGCTTAGACAAATGAAAAGACGGGAAGCTGTGGAAAACCATGACCATCCATGTCCTGATGTGGTATAACATATAAAATAAGTGAATGGATAACAGAACAAGGATAAAGAGGGATGGCAAAAGTTGTAGAGAGACATGATCACCCACATGTTGAAGGGAAATAACATATGAAAGAAGTAAACAGAAGTTGTGGAGACTCATTCTCACTTTACATGTTGATGACTGCTACACCACCCACAGATCCATACTGACACTTAACATTGCTTTGATAAAGGAAAATAGATTTTTTTTTACATAATCTAGTCATTGATCATATATCATGTCTTTGCTAGTAAAGTTAGTGTAAGACCAGGTAGAGGGTTACTATGTGGTTTTGTATGAGTATAAGAAAAGACAAGAAGTGAAGTTCTCAGGGTTATGCAAGAAAGATAACAGCTAACTCTCTCTCTCTCTATATATATATATGCCAGTGTGTCACTGTGTCACACTTTTTCAATTTTACTCCGAGAGGCATATACTATTTTGGAATCAGGCTGCCTCTGAGAGCAAATTAAAAGCATTCCAGACCAGAACTGGACTGACAATCCTGAAATTTTGGATTCCCAAATTTCATTACAGCAATTGGTTTTTGTGATTCTTTTTTTATGTGATTCTTCGCAACAAATTTTTTTTGTATGATAATTTTTATAACTTGGAAATAAATTTGGGAATAACTGAAATTGCAAAATCCAGCAAAAATCAATTTAATTTAATTGACAGTAGAAGAATTATCACTGAACTTTTAAAAGGCAAGATTAAATAGCTTATTGTTGCCTATCATATCTACTCCTCCCTACTTATTGTGATGAAGGCTCAATTGGCAAACCTATCTACTCCTATTGAGGAAAAAGTGTAAATGGTCTTATTTTTTATTTTACAAATGTTGTCACCTTGTTAGACCCAGAAATAAAAACATAAGGAGAGGAATTGAGTTAAACAAATATATTAACAGAAACAGTAATACAAACATATACAAATGAGAGTGTTACAGCAAGAATGTTTGGCCCAACTGTCATAGCTGACTGCTGGAAACTTCCATCTCTCAAAAAAGGCAGTACCTGCCCCTATTTATAGCTGGTAGAGTCCACATGTGTGTGGGTAAATTACCATAACAACAACCCTTTCCCATATACAAAGGGCATATTTCATTTGCAATGATTATTTTTACATACCTGTTATTGACCATCATTTAGCATACAATGCACTTAATTTGTGGAATTCATTCACTATTTTGTGTGGTAACAATAATTTATCATTTGTTCTTAACTTCAGCTTGTGTCATCATTCTTTGTTGTGTGCCCATATAAATTAAATATTGCCTAAAACATTTGAACCATTTATTCATAGATTTTTTTACCAAATAAAAAATTCCTTTACTGATCTAGGACAACTCTAAAATCAAAAGCCTGAGGGGTCATCAACTAAACCGGCTCCCCCAACTTTGGTCTGGTGAGGAGGTTAAATGGAACTCTAGCAGCACAAAAACAACAGAAACTATCAAAGGGAACTCCTCAGGGTCAACAGGCATCCCTCAAGTATGGGTTAAAATAACCTCACCAACACACAATTGGCTAAGCATGGTGAGTATGGCTACACTCCTGAAGACATGGTCAATCAGGGGGAGGCTCCAAACACAGGAGTGAGAAGGACTTAAATTTTGGAATAGATTACTTACGGTTTTTGGTAAATTTCAGTATGTCACAGTTCATGGGAAGACTTATTTCACATTTTTGTGAATCAATTCCGTTTATCCTCTCTTGAGTTGAAAAGCCACTGATGCAAATAATCTGAAAATTTAATGGAAAGCAAATAATGAAAATAACTTTAAAATACAATACAAAACAAGAAGGAAGAGAGAGAGATGTGACAGCAAGGTTTCAGCAACAGCTGCATTAAAATGTGAAGCCTCAGTGAGTGGGTGCAGAGTGTGACAAGCAGCAGCTCTCATCTGCAGACACATTAGATTTAAGACTTTACTCAAAATTACTCAGAATTGTTTGACTACATTTGTTCATAGTAGGATAGATTGGGTCCTATAGATTTGGGTGCAACCAGTCTAAGAAAAGGACAACTTGAATTCAAAACCTGAGTGGTTGGAAACTAAAGAGGTTCCCCCACCAGAACCTTATCTGTTGAGGAGGGTAAGTGGAACACAAGCAGGACAAAAGAACAAGAGCTGTTAAAGAATGGATAAACTCTTCACAATTGACAGCCATTTATCCCATCAAACCACAATTGTCCACACATGGTAAGTATGGCTACACTCCTGATAGCATAGTCAATCAGGAGTGACTGAGAAGGATTTCAATTTCTCAAGCCAGAATATATATTTTGAACAATAAAAAAATATTGAAAAATTAAAATCTTCAGACACACTAGGTTGTAGATTAATATTCTTTCGTTTTTTTTATTATTATTTCATTTAAATTCCTCGACTAGTTTCGGCCAAAATGGCCATCATCGGGAGGAGAAATATTTCTGCTTGCTGGTAGCAGTAAACTATAGAAATGAATGTCTTGCTGGAGAAAATTAACTTTTGACTGTAGTTTTCATTTGTCTTTTTATTTTTTTATCATGAATCTTTTAACATTCCTAGTGTTGGTCAAACAGTCTCTTTTAAGTTGTTATTTGACTTAAGAGCTGGATGGATGTAAGCTTCTCTGAATTTCCGTGGTCAGTTTGACAGTTTTATTGGTTCCTGGAGAGGGGATGTGTTAAGTGTTTGTGTGTGTGTTATTTGGTTCTTAGGGAGTGAGTGAGTATGATATGTGTAAGCATGTATATTACTGTGGTTGTGTGTTATCATTTGGCTCATTAGGGAGTGAGCATGATGTGTGTAAGTGTGTATATTCGTGTGGGTGTGTGTATAAGTGTGAGGCCTACACACCTCTGTAAGCATGTCTGTCTTGTGTGGGTGAGAAATGTGGGTAGGTTTTGATTTGTTGAGTTATATATTAGTACTATCTATATTGTTAAATTTATGGTTTAGCCCAGCTGGATATTGTGCTTTTAGACGTTGTATCCACTTATTTTCATGGGACTCTAAAATCTTTCTAATGTTATCTACTCTGAACTTTTCTATTCTCTCAATTATAGTGAATTTGGCATGGATTTTGAAATCGTGTTTTTCCAGGTGGAAATGTTGTTCTACAGGAAATAATTTTTCATGGGGAGTCGACTTAATTCAATTGCGATAATTATTAATTCTGTGATGAAAGGGCCATTCAGATTTTCCTACATATTGTTTCTGGCATAGTGTGCATTCTAGGAGGTAAATTATGTTATGACTTCTACAGTTAGAATCGTGGTAGATTTTGAAAGTAGATTTAGTGATTGAGCTAGTGAATGAATTCGTGTTTTTAATATGGTTGCAGCATAAACTTCTTTTGTTGTTACATGGTTGGGAAAATCCTGTTGTATTTGTTCTTAGTTTATTACGGATTACCTTGTCCCCCAAAATGTGGTTACTACCTATGATTTCTTTTAGGTTCTTCGGTCTATGATATGTAAGAAGGCCGGGTTCCTTAAACAATTTTTAGGTCTGGTTTGAGATGTAGTATTTCCCAGCAATGTTTGATTATTTGGGATAGTGGAGGCAGAGTGGGGTTGAAAGTGGTTACTAGAGGGATGCGGCTAGATTCATTTTTAATCTTGTACAGTAAGGTGTCTTCTCTAGGTGTGTAAATTGCTTTATTTATTTGTTCCCTGATTAGGTGTTGTTTATAGCCATGTGTTGTTAATTGATGTTCCAGATTTTCAATGTGTTTATTTAATTCTTCATTGTTGGAACATATCCTTCTGAGTCTAAGTGCTTGTGAATAGGTGTTTGAGGTGTTTAGGGTGGGAAGACTTAAAGTGTAGATAGTTGTGGGTGTCGGTGATTTTAGTGTGTAGTGTTGTTTGTAGTTTCCTGTTTTCATCTATGTAAATGCGGGTGTCTAAAAATGTTACTGATGTTGTGGATTTTTCAAAGTCAAACTTAATTGAGTCATGCACTGTGTTTAGGGTCATAAGGAATTGGGTAAGTTTGTCATCACTACCTGTGTATACAAAGAATATATCATCGATATATCTTGCATAGAACACGTAGTCACTACCAATGAGGGGATAGATATGGGTCTCCTCATAATTTCCCATGAATATTGTAGCATATGATGGAGCTGCAATGGTGCCCATGGCACAACCTCTTATTTGAAGGTAGTGTGCTCCATTGAAGTTGAAAGTATTCAATGTAAGGACATGCTCCATGAGTTTTATGATGACTTCTGTGGGGGGGTCTTGTTTTCTTCTTTTGGTAAGTGCTTCCTGAGGGGCGGTTAGCCCTTTGATGTGTTTAATGTTTGAATAGAGTGACCTAATGTCCATAGTCACTAGAATAGCATTCTCTGGAACTGTTTGTATGTGATTAATTTTGTTCAGTAGATCTGTTGTGTCTCTGATGTAGGATTTTACTTCGTTAGCTAGCGGTTGTATGTAATGGTCTATGTATTTGGAAATTTTTGTCATGTGGCAGTTGAACAATGAAATAACCGGCCTTCCTGGGTTGTTGCTTTTGTGTATTTTAGGAAGGAGATAGAAACGAGCAGGTGTAATGTTTGTGGGTGTAAGTGCTGTGCATGTTTCCTTGTCGATTAGATTGTTGTGAATATATATATATATATATATATATATATATATATATATATAGTAAAATGGTCTAGTAGTTTGGGAATTTAGTGACACTGTAATTGTGAGTTCAATCTCTGGGCCAGGGAGTGTGTACCTTTATTTTTTTTTTTTTTAATACGATGAGGTTCACTCTTTACAAGGTCTGGGGGCCACTTCAGGTAGGGGGTTGTGTTTGTGGGCCATTTGTGTGTATAGAAGTGAAAGATAACAATTAACCCTGGCCTTGAACAGGTTAAGATTGTAGTGATCAGGAAACATCATGTTGGGAGTTGATTCCACAGGGCAGTGGTTTGCAGGAAGAAGCTACTATGTAGGTGGCATGGTGTGTTCTTGCTGTGAAGGTTTGCTGTGAAGATTTTGAAGTAGTGGTTTTGGCGAGTTATGGGTGTGGCACATTTAGAGGTGACCAGGGTGGATTCTTTGCTGGAATATTTTTTGTGGGGAGGGTGTTATAAAACTCTCCATTCCAGAAAGGGTCCAATCACACACAAGAGCAGCAGTTTTTGAGGCAGCATGTTTGAACAAGTTTGGGAGGGGAGTTTCCATCATGTAGGATTGAAACCTGTCCCAGTCTGTCTTTGCATAGGGAAAAATTGTTCTATCGGATGGTACTTCAGTGGATGCCTTAAGTTTGGCATCAATCTGGACACTGATTAGGGAATGGTCTGACATACTTTTGATAAGCATTTATCAGGGATGCCAAACCTAAGATATCCCCTGATATACCATTCTATAGAACAAGTTTATGCTATGCAAAGATGGTTAGCCAATCCCTATTGAAGACACCTACTCTACATCCAGAACCAACCTGTGGTTTATACTGTATCTATGTTGGGCAGACCATTGGATTTTATCAAGGATATCTAAATATCTAGCAGGACCACCAGACCATATTTGACAGAAATATTCAAAGCAAAGATGAATGGTAAACTTATAAAAATATAAGATAGATGATGGAGAGAAAAACTGTTTAGCACGACCCAGTGAACCAACTTTCCTAGCTGCAGAACTAGCATAGCAACTGATTCAATATAATCTTTCCACATCATGTAATTAGAAATCATTAGACCAAGAAGGCACAACAAATCACTCTCCTGGAGGTTAGAATCAGCCATGCTGATGGAAGACAAAGTTTTCTCAGACGATTAATAGGCAGTAGTTTCATTTTGGATGTGTTAAAATTAACAATTCATTCCTTGCCACAGTTAACAACAGAATGTAGGTAATTCTTTTTTAGATCAGCTGCCAATTTAAATCTGGTCAAACAACTCAATGTTCTTAGTCAAGTTATAATATATAGCAGAACCAGATTAGGATGGAGGAGAGAACTGTGAGAGATACCTGCATGGATCATATAGGATTTAGAGGATTGGCCATTAATGATGACCTTAATGGACCTAAGAGATTGGAAGAACTGGATAAGCAGGAGAATCTCATTTAATTACGAACAGGATATATTCCAGAGACTTATTTTCAAGTCTATAATGGGGATCTCCTTTACTTGTAATCAGGATAGCTTCTGAGGGTTTTTAGCAGGTGGGGATAATATTAGAATATATTGTCTTACTTACAAAGAGGATACATTCCTGCATTTTGTTCTTAAGTACTAGATCACATCTCTACTTACAAACATTATACATACATAAGATCCATCGTTAAAGATGCTAGAAAAATGGTCGGTTCCCTATACTGCTCCAATAAGTATCTAATTCCTACTGATATCCTCTATCTTTACAAGAGCCAGATCAAGCAGAAAATGGAGTATTGCTGCCATATATGTTGCTCAGGAGATGTCAAGTATCCACTTTTCAGTCTTGATAGAGTCCAAAAACACTTCATGACCTTGTAGGTGATAAATTATTTCCCAACCTACAACCACTTTCCAAAAGATATCACATGGCAAACCTCTTGTATCTATCTATATTTCTGAGATATTATGTACACTATGTACATTATTCTGACTATTGACCTCATCTTGGTTGCCATATTTATCACAACGTTTCAGCCGTTGTACCCTCCAGCCTTCTTCAGGTGGTTGAAATGTCGAACTGAACCCTTTATTCCATTCACTGGAGTAGACTGTTCTAGTTCCATGTGCCATGTCTAATAGATATCAGTTATCAGTTATTTCCTGTTAATTCCCCTCTCCAAGTTCTCCACCACCTTAACCAGGTATTGAACTCACTCTTTGGGTCCTGTCAATGGATCTAATTAACACCTTTATCCACTGTGCCATGTGTCCTCTTGCTACTGTCTCTATTACCATGGAAAGTGTTCAAATGAACTACATGTTTTAGTTCTATGAGTTCTAAACTTCATGGCTATGCACATTGTTGCGAACAACCCTCATTCCCTTCATATTCCATTGGTCAGATGTAAGTTCCAGATGAGGAACTTCTTCCCACAAAACAACCAGCCAAAAATTGAAGGAAGAATTTACTCTATCAAAGGCAGGAATTGCAAGAATGAATATATTGGAGAAAAATCAAGAAGTGTAAACAAGAGACTATATGAACACAAAACATTTTAAATAACAACACACAAAATGCATTGGTTGCTCACCGTAACGAAACTGACTACAATTTTGACATCGGGAATGCTACTTTGATTAAAAGAGAAAATAATCCACTGAGATAAAAATGTCTGAAAATGACCTTGATCATTAGTTCAGCCATGATAAATTTGCATCCAGGCTCTTACAATATATCACCATTTTTGGTAGATTTTATATTGTCACAGTGTGGGATAGTCAGGGACAAAGGTGATTAAAAGAAAAAGAATATAGATGAATTTGGTTAGATTGGCACAAAAAATATTCTTTCAAAAATTTTGAAACTACCTGCATCTCTCATTTTGTGCACATGTGTACACATGGCAACATCAACAAAGCCCAGTGCAATGAAATCTTAATGGATGAAATGCATCACAAGATATTTTCCAGTTTGTCATATATTTCTAAATACAGTTTGTTGATATATAAAATTATACAAAATTATATTAGTTAATGAAGTTATTTGGTAATCCAGAGAGCTCAATGTAAAAACAGAGCAAATATTAATTATATTAAGAAACAGACAACTTTAAGGGTTCATGGAATTATGGATTATAATTTATTTCCTTAGGACCGGTATTTTGGTCCTAATTTATCAGATTTTTCATACAAAAATATGGGTGACAAATTTTTCCAGGCTTAAAAACTTAAATATTATTCTTAATTTATGCACACACGTGTTTGAGGAGGCAGTTTGAAGTTGGTATAATATGATAGAGAGAGGAGGAGGAAGTTGATAGATATGTGATCGAAACTAGAGAGGAAAAGGAGTGATAGGAAGATGTTTATATTTATCTTTATTAAGAGACTAAACATGTTGACCTATTTATCAAGTCACAGGAAAAAAAAAGAAAAAATAGACAGAGAAAAGAAGGCTTTAAAAAAGAGATGACAGAATAGAAAAGAAATAGGGAAACACGGTGGGGGAGAACAAATTATTATACAAGCAGGACTCCAGCAAAATTTAAGAATACAGATTAATACAATTTACAATTAAAACACTTGATGTTATTTTAAAGAATACCAACAATAATAAAAATAGCATAAAACTGATATTATTAATAACAACTAATAAATAAAAATTAAAATTTCAAAAAGTTTTTTCCAAAAAACCAAAGTAATAATAATAATGCTGTTTTGTAAACTTATTCTAAGAGAAAATTATGCAAAATAAATTTTAAAGAAAAATTCCATATGCATACATACATACAGACATGTATACACATAAAAGCATGCATACATACACATACACACACACACGCACACACATATACACACACACACACACATTCTATTAAAAGTCAGCAAAATTAATTGACAGAAAATGCAATTTTTCAGAGGTAGGTAGTAATAAAAGCAATACAAATGAATGAAATAACAGTAGGGTAGTAATAATGAAAATGATAATACTAGATCATTTATATTATATTCATACATACATACCAGTACATACATACATATATACATACCAGTACATACATACATATACACACACACACATATATATATATATATCCACACATAAACACACATACATATACATTCCTAAATACATACATATACATATCCATAGATATCTACATTTACACACATACATATATATATACAAACACACATATATCCACAAGTGCCCCAAATTAACAACCATACACAAATGAATGAATAGCTATACAAAAAACATAATCAAATATATACACTTACCTACACATACACACACATATACACATACATAAACATATATATATATACATATATGTACACATACATACATATACATCAACATACAAATAAATTCACACATCTACAAATAATATATGCAATTAATCCTACATATAGACATCAAGTATTACTACATGTCCTGATAATTCAAATTCTGGAGTTCCAATGGACAAGTCTCCCAAAGATTAGGTGTAGTTTGCTACTTTGAGTCGATGTTTGTGCCTGCATTTGAAGACAATCTCATTCCAATGGTTTAGTAAGTCCTCAGGTTTATTATATTTAATTATAAAGATTTTCTCCTTAATGCAGAGGTCACATCTATCTCTGAAGTTTTTAGGAGTTCGAGCCCTGAAGATAATTTTCCATTCTAATTGTGGGGTGGAACCATCTTCCAGTTTCTTGCTTTCTTTTCAACTAAGGTTCTGTTTCCATGGATACAGTTTTTTTTTATTGTCCTTACTCTTCAGCATCATTTTCAATTTCCATCATTCCTTGTGTCTCAGAGGCTTTATTGCCTTGCTTGGTGTGAAATGATTAAAAATAACATCACCGATGTCTTCTATCACCAATAAAGTGTTGATTTCTTCCTCACACTTCTACTCAGGCCGAACAATTTACATTGCTACTGCTTACCATGCAGAGAAAGGTGGTTAGCAACTAAATTGCAATTATAGAAATTACAGATGACAATTTCAGATTTCATAAGAATAGTTACCTGATGTGTAAGCAGAGTAGAGTAATGGATAGTGGCTCGGATTGAGGAATTGGAGAGCTGAGTTCAAATTCCAGTCAAGTTCATTGCATTCACTTATATGCTAATACCCTTGGGAAAGGCATGAAACCATTTCTGCCCTCCAACCAGTCTAGAAGAAGGATAACTAAATTCAAACCAGTTTGCTGCCTTGTAAGTCCAGCTTCTTTAGGCAAATGCTTCAAGAAGGTAACTTCAAAAATAAATCCAAGTTACATGTCTTGAAAAAAGAAAAAAGCCCCCACCTACTTTGAACCACGGCAGAAAAAAATGGATTCATCGACCTTAGTACAATGGTTCCAACAAATAAGACTGGGACACAGCACAATGCTGTGGATCTTTCTGATTTCACACCATTTTTTCATGAGTGTATCATCTACAGCAATTTAGACCACTACTTACCTGATAGTTATCGATGGTCCTTTCAAACGAACTGTCGTAGAAGCCATTTGTTATTATGATCAGCTGCGGAAGGTCCAATTTCTTGGCTATGAATTGTTCTATTGTTATCTCATCGGACCAATCGAAATCATCATGCTCAAATAAAGGAGTACCTGCAATGATAGAAGGAAATGAGAAAGAATGCATCTTAGCTTCATATAATTCAACAGCTTGTAAAAATAAACAACAACCAATTTTCCAATATTCAATTTTTTTTTTAAATTCTTACAGTATTGTTGAAGTTATTGCTAACATTTTTTGTCGAGACTTACAAATACTATATCTCATTAAATTCCAAAAACCAAGCAATGAAATTTGAATAAGCTGATTTGTTTGGAAAAAACTGACAAAAACCTTACTTTGAGAGTTAATAATTTCTTTAATTTAATTTTATAGGACTTCATGGTAAACAATATTTTTAATGAAAATTTCTTTTCCTTTTTAAGAGCGAAGAATAAATTCATAGGATTTCTTACACTTGAGCATGCAACATACAACTGGTCATGTGTAAATATTTCTTTCTGGGCCCAGATTCAAACTTTTTGAAACATTTGGACTTGTGATTTGTTTATGGTTCTCACAAATGCAGGTCCAACTGGAAATGGGATTTTTGTACATATAGAAACTACTTTTTATTTTAAATTTGTTTTTAAATTTAATTTGTTTTTAAAATAGTGGGAGTATTTTGTATGTTAAATAATAAAACTTTTCCAAAAAATTAAAACTTAGTGAAAATTTATTGCACTAAGCTATGCACACTAATAAAACCAACTGTGGTTTGTACCCCCTTATCTGTTTGCACTTCTCCCCAAAATTTGGTTTTGATCAAAGTATGGCTATTTTAGAGGTTGTTACCAACAGACTGATGGAAGTCACAGAATTTTATATATAGATATATCATTTAATCTGGAGCACATTTTATATCTTTAATAATTTTACCATTTCATGCTACAGATAGTACAGAGTTTAGGAAGTAATTAAGTTTAGAAAGTTATTCACCATTATGAATTACCAGTCAACTAACCGAGGCAGAATTAGGTTTGATTTGTTCTGTTTTTATGGCTTATCAATTTCAGTGGGTTATTGTTGGGGCGCACCCACCTTCTCATCAGAATAGACTGATCTCTCTACTACTAATAGGACAGTTCTATAGAGTTCTGAGAAAGATCAGGTGACCATCACACTTCCGTCTCTCTACCGGAAGATACAGTTGGACTTTATACTCTTTCTGATTGTTACTGACTAACCTGCATTCGTTTGACTACTAATCTCTCTGTTGTAAATACCTCTTCAGATATACCAGTATTTTTCCCTACATATGTGTTTGTCCTTATTTCAATACATGCACACGGAAACACTCAACATCTCAACAGTTATTTAATGCCAACAAGATTTTATAAGATTGGTTTGTATGAATAGAATATGTATTCTTTGTAAGAAATCAATTTGTAGATCAGGTTTCATTTACATATTTTTGTAAAGAGGGTTTTTGTCAAGAGTCAAATTTACCATAAAAATCTATTTTTACACTTTCATAATGTTTTGACTCCAGTTTGTGGGTTAATTATTTGTCCATAGCTGGGACCCTAACATTTCAGGGTTTAAACTCATTTAAAAAAAACAAAACAAAAAAAAAATCATATTTATCATTGCTTACTGCAGGGATTCAAAATGGTAGATAGTACAACTAGTACATACTAGTGCATCTCAGGGTTTAACATGTGCTACCACCCCAGGTCAGGGTGAATCTGGGAACAAGAACAATTAAAAGGTGGTTCCATGCTCCTCGAAAACTCCCAGTCAGAGGCCTTGCTGCCAGATGTAGTTTATTGTCATATCCATGATAAGTCTATAATTAGGCTTATCACTTAATATATCATTTACAGTTAATTTCAGGGATATCAATCCATCTGATTTGAGATTAAATGGTAGGTGTATGATGAGTAGGGATTTTTTGCCGAGTTTGTAATGAGCAGTCCAACCCTGTAACTCCTGTAACATAGGACATCAAATAATCCTGTGGGCATACAAAAAGCAACTATCTCTATTTCATTGAGATAAAGTCACAAGGGTGATGTAACAGCCAGGGTGTGATATCAGGGGGGTAGAGTGATGAAGAGCATTTGTGGTGCAAAGCCAAATAAGAAAGATGTCCTGAGCCCACAGCAGTAGACCAAGTGGTTACACCAAACTTGTTCTGAAACTATGAAGAGATCATGGATTACACCTCTCCATAAGATGATTTTTACTGGTTATATTACCTTAAAGCATTATGAAGAAAACTTGCCCCAAGCACTGGAACATCAAATGATTTTTTAAATCTAGGTATAGTCTCAATTTTCATTACTGAATGTAATAACTGAGTGATCTTTTTCTTCAAGGCTAACAAACAGCAGATACTTGAATGTTTGGAAAGTAATTACATTCACCACCATGAATTATGATTGTAGGGTACAAATGTTAATAGAAAATGATTAACATGAGTGCTACAAAATAAAAATTTTTTTTTTTTTTTACAACAAAAGAACTTGTGGAAAAATCTGAAACCAAATTTGAATCGTTCATGTTTTGTTTTTCTTTAAAGTCTCTGCAATTTGCAGAGAAGTATCAGTGGCCGTGTGGCTTTAAAAACATTATCAAAAAGTTGAGAGTCGTAATTTGATACTGTTCATTCAGTATTCAAAGGAGCAGGCTGCTGTGAGACACAGTTGTATTCATCTTGCTAAGCAAATGAACTGTTCTAAGGTAGTTTGAAAATATTCTCATTTTTATATTGTTCTGATGACATCGCGCACACGTAGGTTAGCTCCACAAATTTCTTACAAAGTGACCGTATATTTTTTGTCCAGCCAATTGGTCAAATGTTTTTTTTGTTTTGTTTTTTTTGTTAGAAAATGTGCTTAGATCTTTTTTTATATATTAAGAATTGTGCCAGAGTTGATCCAATTTTTCTCAAACCTTCCTTGAAGGGGGAAATTGCATCATTTCCTACATGATGCAGCCGACCAAGGGTGAATGCTGCAAAATTGCATCTCAAATTAGTTTACCATCTCTTCTATCTAAAAGTATGTAGTTTATAGTACATTTCAGGGTTTAAACTCATGGAACGCTAAACATTTAAAAAATACCGATCATATTTGTCATTGCTTACTGCATGGATTCCAAATGGTAGATAGTACTTCTAAAGAAGCATTTGAAAAGATTTGTGCAATTTATACGTCAGTGGAAGACTGGATTAAAAATTTCTACTGGAAAAACTTGTAAAAGGGCCCAGTCAAAAGGACTTACTTAATCCCAAAACATAGTCAAATGAATCAAATAAAAGTAAAGGTTTTAAGCAAATGTCACAACTATTCAATATTGTTCTATTTATTTATGTTAATGCAAGCATAATACAAACACCAGAAAATTTTAATAATTACATAATAAAAATAATCATAAAACAACCAATCCGAGTAATTTACAAAGCAAAATTTTAAATTGTTTCCAAAGTATAATTAAAATAAAAAAATTATACACCCTTTTGCAAATTAATTGAAACAAAATAAATAATTCCATTATTATTTACTTTTTTTTGTATTTTTCCAATGAAACATGACCCAGTGCACATGTTAGTATTTTGTATGTCCATTCCACAAAATCTTTCCTTGCAGACTGACCACAGATTCTTGATTGGATTTAAATCAGAAGAGTTTCTGAGCCAGTTGATGGTACTTTGATTTGCTCACTGGTAAGGCTTGCCAGTGTGTTCATGCAGCGTTACAATTTTTGTACGCTTCCTTGGAGTAATGTCCATTGCAGATAATGCCCATAGGACAACTAATCAACAGTTGGGACAATAGTGTCTGGGCGTGATGAAAATTTGATGCAATGATGGATGGCGCAATATTTTTCAAGGCCAAGCAAATTTCATACACCCTGAAAATAGATTCATATTACTGCACATTACTGTAAATGACCTAATCTGAGAAAAGATAGAAATCAATTACACCCTGTCACTTCAGTGAGTTTAAAACTGACTGTATGGTGAAAGAAAGGAGTTGTTTCAATTAATTTGCACAAACATCACCCTGGAAGACAATCCACTCTAAATGAAGACCTTTTGAAAAGAAAAATATCAAATTGGGTCTAAGTTAACACACCAGTTATTTCGCACAAATGTGCCATGTTCAACTGTCAACAGACATCTTAAGTGATTTGGGAAGCTTGTAAAAGATTTTGAAATCTATCAAGGCTGGAAAGTAGGGATTAAGCTGCACCAGTCCAGATATGACAACAATACTACATTTTTGGTTTAATTTAACATTTGTAAAGACAGCGCATATTAGATTTTATACATGACTTCTATTTTAAGTATTTAATGAACTTCTGACCTGAGAGACATTTAAGGTATTGGGCCACATTGAGTGTGTCATATCCTGTCAGCACTCCCACATTTTTTTCAAATAATTGGAAGAAAAATCTTAACCAGCTTTGTTGTAAGACTGATTCACAATATAAAGAAGCCTCAAAAGCAGCAAACAACAAAAAAAAAACAAGCATCCCTTGACCCTGCCGGGCGATGCTTATCATCTCTCAGTTGTGTCCCCATCTTCAGGCAGAAGTGAAACTATCTGCACACAGAGGCCACAATTGAGTCGCTGCTGAGAAAAATAATAGTTTTGGAGGTGCCTAGCCCTGGAGGAGAGCTGCTTGAGGCTTCACTCTCTCATTGCACTAGAGAGAGGAACCAGTGGTTGCTGCTGAGGTCAGTGCAGCCAATGGTTGTGGGGGCTTGGGCAATTTTGTACTTGGCCTAAGTGTACATGTTTGGGTTCCTCACGTTAAGCTTGACCATGTGTTGCCTCCAATCTCAGTGGGGAGGCAAGGATAAATATCCAGGTGTTCTGCAGTCAAGACGATTAGGATCAAAGTGTCATATTTGTTCCAGCAACCAGCCCATGGCACCAGCCACCATCTTCTCCAGTAGACCACTAGATCCAGCCATCCTCACCTACAGCAACAATATACAATAAACTGTCCTTTTCAGCACAACATTGTAGCACAAAAATCTGAATCTAGTTCTTGAAGAACTTGGTTCATAAATGTTTGAAAGGATTGGACTGCATTCCAT